CAGATTATTGGACAGCTGATGAGATGGTAAGACATAAATAAGACATAAGTAAGATGAAGAGTAATAAGGCAGCTCAGTCCAGATGTCTAATCCACGTTGAAGATGAAAGTGGAATCTTCTATCAATTATGAACCTAACATGTTGAATTAGATCCTCACAAATCCTCCAAATGATTCCCTAATAATCCCACTGATGGATCACATGACCCAGATAGAGGAGCAAGAGCTCTGGCCCTGTTTGACATGGACAGACCGCAGAGGCTGAACCTTCATAAGAAGACAAAATAAGCTGTAAAGAGACAGAAACAACTACAAATACACAGAAAATGAGAGACAAGAAAACAAAATAACACCAAAGGGACTGAGAGGAGCTGTTAGAGCAACCACAGAGAGGCAACAGATAGAAGACAGCACGCCAAGCAGTTTAACAATCTGCATATTATTACTAATATTTACAGTTCCTAGATTTTATCTGATGCAGTCACATGGCAAAATGAGTAAAAAGATTAGAAAAAGCCTGGTTTATAGTTAAGATTAAGCTCAGAAATGTATCACAGATATTTAGGTAGTCTGCATTTGTTTCATACTGTGCACATGCACAGTCCATCTCTCCAGAATACTCTCTCTCTCTCTCTCTCTCTCTCTCTCTCTCTCTCTCTCTCCCTGTATGTGTGCTAGTGATTAGGCTGCACTTTGCTTTTGTTCTGATGAAAATAAAGAGCTGCTGAAAGATTACTGAACCATTAATGTAGCCACGACCCATTAACTGATAAACAGCTATTAGAGGCTTAGAGATTAAATTACATATATGGAGCAGAGTGATGATGAGGAGAAGTGAGAGGAGGAGAAGACGGAGGAGGTGGAGGTCTACATATGGTCACATGAACACAACTAAACACTTATGTATTAATTGATTTAATCCTGATAAGAGAATTTTGTAAACTCACTCTGAAGCATAGAAACACTGTTTAGAGAAATGCCACCACTCAAAGCCAGTACTTTCACTGTAAATGAGGAACCCGTTTTATTAGTTTAAAATACTTCCCTTTCGTTTTAGCCTACAGGGATGGTCAAAGTGTTCGTCCTCCTCTCTTTAAACAATACATAATTAAGAGGAAATCAATGAGAATAAAGGCTTCGGGGTTTTTTTTAAAAAACATCCGGAAAACAGGATTTTTTATTGATCAATATTAGTCTTTTCTATTTTTAATGGCAACTATATGAACTTTTTTAAAGTATCAACATAAAGAAGGGCGACGACATTTTCTTTCACTTTTATTAAAAGAGATTCCGGCCACGTCAGCCGGACTTTTAGTGGCTTTTTCTGACGTCATCATACTGCGCCATATGTTGACAGCGTACAGTCGGTAACAGCTCGGGAGACGGAAGAGAGTGGAGTAGAAACCAATGCTGTCATTTGGTATGTTACTGTATATATTTACCCAAACTGTTAACGCCTTAACTGTGTGTAACTTTAGCAGCCGCGAGGTTACATGTTCGTCAGATTAGTCGGAATTTAAAAGTTATCTTATCTTATCCTCGGTCTGTCAGGCTAATGTTTAGTTTCCGGTCACTGTGTTTGTTTCGGGAATGAGTTTATTATTATATTTATTTATTCGCATAACCCATTGTTTTTTTAACTGTGATGAATACGTGGAAAATATCACATATCTTTAGTATTTTTTGTTAATATTAGATATTATATTACTTTTACAAAAAACTAGCAATAGAAAAAGAAAACATTTTTTATTCAGAGATGATCATAGTTTTTGAAAATCAAATAAAACCATCCCACACTTTAATTGCAAAACATAACACAAAAAACAACACAACAGTTACAGTCAGATCATGAACGTTTGTGTGGACTCAGAACACAGTTTGAGTGTTGTATGATGAGTGTCATTTACAAAGCTTTTGTGTAGTTGCCTCAGGGTTCTTCTCAGCTTCATTCTCAGACTTTTTGCTGGATTCGTTCCAACCTAGGTGTGTACCTCTCCTGTTTGGAGTGACAGTACAATTGTCTTAAGTGGCAGCGGCTAGCAGGTCGTACTGTATTAGGCGGAGGAAGGTTTGATATATTATTCATTACTAATTTGTCTCAGAAATGCCTAACAACCAACTGATTCTGTGCTGAACATGGTGGAGTTCCACGGAAATATTTTGTAGATTTTCTTTGCACCTTCAGACAGATGACAGCTCTGGTGTTCTCTGTGTCCTCAGTCTGCAGCTCTTGTGGCTTCACACATGATGAGTCGTGATGAAGAAACGTAAAGTAGCTGCTGTCTTCCTCATCCTTGGCTTCCTGCTTGTCTACCTCATGTTTATCCTTCATCGTGACAGCAGCTACAAGTATGAATTCTTCTCTAAAATTAAAGTGTACTCTAAACTGGGAGCCGGCTCCAGTCTGGATAATATACCCAGTGTCAACACTGCCTCCAACTTTAGCGCTGACCCTTTGCGGGACACTGTCTCCACCAGTACTCCACAACCTCTTGGTTTAGAACATGAGGAAAATGGTGAGAGCTTTCAGTACGGGATAATGTTTGATGCCGGAAGCACTGGGACCAGGATTCATGTTTTCAAGTTCCAGGTGGTTGATAAAGGTAAAGGTACCTGTTTGCCCTCCTTTCTGTCCCCCTTTTCATTTCCATCTCATGTATTGAAATGTCTATGTTTGGTCTCCCCAGAAATTCCTAGACTGAAAAATGAGACGTTCAAAGCTATCTCACCTGGTCTGTCTGCGTACGCTGATGATCCTGATGCGGTCAGTACATCTGTCTTTTTGTCCCTATCACTGTCCTTGTCTCCTTATTTAGCTTTCTATCTCTCTTTCATTCGCTTTTTAATTTTTGTCCATTTTTGCCTCTTTTTTCTTGTTTCTATCTATCTATCTCTCTCTCTCTCTCTCCCACTTTTCTCCCTGCTTTGTCTGCCTCTTTGCACACTCATCTCTGTGTGCTTGTTCTGCCCCTTAGTGCACACCAGTCTCTCTCTCTCTCTGTCTCGCTGTCCCACTTTTCTGCCTGCTTTGTCTGCCTCTTTGCACACTCATCTCTGTGTGCTTGTTCTGCCCCTTAGTGCACACCAGTCTCTCTCTCTCTCTGTCTCGCTGTCCCACTTTTCTGCCTGCTTTGTCTGCCTCTTTGCACACTCATCTCTGTGTGCTTGTTCTGCCCCTTAGTGCACACCAGTCTCTCTCTCTCTCTGTCTCGCTGTCCCACTTTTCTGCCTGCTTTGTCTGCCTCTGTCTGCCTCTTTGCACACTCATCTCTGTGTGCTTGTTCTGCCCCTTAGTGCACACCAGGGATCATGGAACTTTTGGAGGTGGCCAAGACCAGTGTCCCTCAGTCCCTCTGGAGTGTGACTCCTTTGGTGCTAAAGGCCACGGCGGGTCTCCGTCTCCTGCCTGGACAGTTGGCCGACAAGTTGCTGGACAAGGTGAGACTTTGGCTTTTTCAAGTAAATATTTCTTTGTTATTTTATAATAACAATAATTAAATGGGAAAGTACTGTAGAAGACGACGGGAAAACTTGGCATAATGCACCATAAATACATATAGGGTTATATTGAAATCTTGAAAAACGCCCTCTAAATGTTTTTTGTTTGGGAATATTTGAAATCAAGGACACTGACTTTAAAGCTTTTAATCAGCAGACAACAGGAGCAGAGCTTCATCCAAAATGGGATTTAATCTGAAACTTTAATCTGATCATCAGATTCAGCCCCTGATTAGTCTTTATTCAAACCTTATTATGTCACCAAAATGCTAACAGGAAGTTGTGATGTTTATAACATGACACTGGGGGTACAAAGGGACATTAAGGCTAAAGCTGAAAACGCTGCTCACATTAAAATGACACTTCAGCCAACACTGCACCAAAGTCCAGAGAGAAATCCACTGGTTTTACTGTCCTCACACTGTCAGCAAGGAGTCTGGGTTTCTTTGCTGACTGATGACTGTACATACTTGTGTCCAGGTGAGGGCGTTGTTTCAAGAGTCTCCATTTCCCTCCAAAGAAGAGAGCGTGTCTGTCATGGACGGCACGGATGAAGGCAAGTTACTTTTATCTGACCATGGGACAGCATCTAGATTCTATTTATTGATTTTAATGTGTCTCTGTGTCTCTTCTACTTGTCTTTTGGTATTTACATATTTCTCAACTAAATTTCAGGTCAACTAATGTCAGTATTGACAGTACTGACATTACAGCATATTTTAAATGTTTTTCCCCTGCGTCATTCAGTTATTTTGCCTTAGCTAAAAATGTAAGAAACAAGAAAATGCAAACACTGTCCCTGTGACATTTCCTGGCTCTGGTCCTGTCTTCTTACCTGTGTTTGACCATCATATGTACATAAAGGGCAGGCAAATACTTTATTTTTCTATCTGTAAGCTCTGTATGAACAGAATGTGGACATATAGACAATATTGACAATATGTGTCTTTTGTTATGTTTGGACATGAGTCTCGTGCTGCAGTTTAATCCAATCCTTTTAAAACTAGTTCATACAAGCAAGTCCACGTGAGATAATGTCCTGTTTAATCTTGAAGGGTGGGGCGGGGGGGGGGGCCCCATGGGGGAGAAACCCCACCCTCCCCCCCCT